GACAGGAGGTGCTGAACGAAGTCACTGGCATCGCCTGTCCCCCGTGTGGCGCTAACGTAGCGCGATTCCTCAAGGTCTGGAGGGGCCTGGGAAGGTCTGGTCCCCTGGCTCCTCGGGAGGTAGGGCCCCCAGGGAGTGGCGGCACGCCCGCTGGGGCTCATTTTGAGTTCTCTGTTGGTCGTGGGGCAGTGAGCAGGGAGGCGAGCAGGGGTTGAAGCAGGAACAGACTGTGTTAAGCGTGACTGGGGCAGCAGGAGGCAGCCCCCGCGTTTATGCCTGTCTCCAGCAGCAGCGTCTCCTCCTGCTCCAGTGGGTTGAGTCCAGGCTCTCCCCTTTCAGGCCAGTTGCTCGGTGCCCTGTGCTGCTGGCCACGCCGTCTGTGCAGGTAGCTAGTGACCCGGGGGACAGTCAAGATGGGAAAGCCCTCCAGCCTCCATGTCCCCTTAAACTTCTCTTGAGTCCACCTGATGCCAGTTCCACGTCCCCCGACCAGTAACCTCGGGCAGACTCACCAGTGGGCTGGGTTGTGCCCCCCAGCTGGTCCCAAAGCCAACACTGTTGGCCCGGGTAGGGGACACTCCTGGGCCCTGCAGGCTGCTTGCTCACGCAGCACCTTCTCTTCAGGGATCAGACTTACTGTCTGCTTCAGCTTTTCTACAAAAAGCCAGGCCTGAGCAAGGAGTGGGGAGGGGAGGGCCGGGCAGCTGCCCCCAGCACCCCTCAAGAAAAGATGAGTTCACTTCGCTTCCCAGCCAGCGCTGGGCGCCGGGCTTGGTGTCAGAACCCGCAGGGCCGGGTGGCGGGGGCGTCAGCATGCCCTGACTTGGCGACAGGCGCCAGGGAGACCGGAAGGGAGCCCGGGGACCCGGGAAGGCTCGGCCGACAGCGTGGGTGGGGGAACATGGCTTCGCCAGTCCTGTTTTTGGAGGATGCAGGGGAGTGGGGTCATGGGAAGAAGTCTTCCGTCTTCTCCCAGAGCCACATGGCTGACTTCAGATTCCCCAGAGCGCGGCACGGCAGGCAGCAGGATGCCTCCCCAGGAAGAGTGCCCGTACTTGGGCCCCTGCTCCTCCACGCGGGCCTGGCCCCCAACTGTCCCCACCGTCCACGCCCCCCTCCTCTGTGCCAGCCCATGCCTTCCCCCCGGCCCCCTCTATCTCGAAAGGACTGGGTCCCCTACCTCTCTCAGCACCCCACTACCAAGACTGCCTCCCCCAGGCACCCTGCCCCGTGCACCCCCGCCCGCAGGATGAGCCCCGGGAGAGCAGGGCCTCCACTCCTGTGCTCTGCACATGGCCCGGCAGGGAGGGCAGGGGTCTTGGCCCCCACAGCAGGACTTGGCCTGGCCCAGCGTGGCCCCAGTCCCCGGAAAAGAAGCGGCGCGCGGGGCCTTCCCACAGCAGGACAGAGGGAGGACCCACGGCCTCGGGCATGGCCCGCCCTCTCCAGCCCCCTGCCGGGCCGGCTGAGGTCTTCCTCCTGCCCACTCTGGCCCATGGTCACCTGCAGCAGGGGCTGTGGGTGGGCGCCAGGCTGGGCCCAGACAGCACCACAGCTGAGACCGTTCAGGGCAGAGTCTGGTGGGTGCTTGGCCAGTGTTTGTGGTTGGGGGACAGTGAGGAGGCTCACACCAGCCCAGCAAGCGTGCTGCGGCCCCTGCGGGCGGGCTCTGGTCCTGAGCCTTCCCAGCCCAGCGCCCGGCTTGGCCTTTTGAGGCCGCCGCCCCTCTCTGTCTGTGCGTTAGGGAAAGTGGCGGTCCCTCTCATGACCCGGGGGTTTCAGAGCCGAAGGAAGGTAGGCTGCTCCCCTGAGAGCTCCTGTGAGTGACACAGGGTCCCCTGTGGGAACTCGGACCTGGAAGCATGGGACAGTGGTCCATGCCGCAGCGGGTGGCTGGAGGAGAGGGGACAGAGTGTCCTCGGGATCCAGGGGTGCACTGCAGGCCGCCCCAGGGCAGGTGTGGGTGGACCCCTACTCTTCTCGGGCCTAAGGGGGCCCCCAGGTTGTGGCCTCCCAGACCCCACCCAGGTTCCCTTGCACCTCACCTCTCTGCCTTGTCCCCAAGTATTTTCCAAGCTATTGTCTTATCATGAAGAACACGTTAATGTGGGTATTAAAAAATATGGGCAAATGTTTAATGCTAGCAAGCTGTGTTCCATTATTGATGCTCTGCTTGAGGGCCCGGCAGGCAGCCCAAGCGGGCGGGGGCTCCGCGGAGAAGTGATGACGCAGCAGCCCCGTGAGGCCGCCATCTGCCGGGCCCGCTGCGGGGACGGCCGAGCCCGCTCACCACGGGCTCCTAGGAGGCAGAGCGGGGAAGGGAGCCGGGCCCCTGGGTCTGAAGCCACCCCTCTTCCCTTGCGGTGGTGTGGCTGGGCGCAGATACCATGGGGGGAGCCTGGGGCTGGGCCGGGGAGGCTGGCCCACCTGTGCGGGTCACACCACAAACTCAGGGTTGAGTGGAAAGTGGCCCCTTATTTTTGGCCGTGCTGGGTCTTCATTGCTGCGTGCAGGCCTTCTCTATTGCAGAGAACGGGGCTACTCTCTAGTTCCAATGCACAGGCTTTTCATAGCGGTGGCTGCTCTTATTATGGAGCAGACTCTTGGTGCACGGACTTCAGAAGTTGCCGCCCAGGGGCTCGTTACTTGTGTCTTGAGGGCGCTAGAGTGTCCTGGCTTCGGTAGTTGTGGCGCTTGGGGTTAGCTGCTTTGCTGCATGTGGAATCTTCCCAGACTAGGGATTGAACCTATGACCCCTGCATTGGCAGGCAGATTCTTATTCACTGCAGCACCAGGGAAATCCGTAATTAGCACTTTTTAAGAAGCACCCCCATTGGGGCACGGAGGGTGAAAAAAGAAGCAGGGAGTGTGATTAGAAGGTGGCTTGGAATTGAGCAGGCGAGAGGGGCCGACCGGTGGCCCCGGGCAGGATGGCTGAGACGGGCCAGGAGGCAGGCGTGCGCTGAAGGCAGAGCCCTGGTGAGAGAGGCCCCGAGGGTCACGGAGGACTCTGTGCTTTGGGCTGCAGCAGCTGTTGGGCACTGATGTCCCCTGAAGGCTGGGGGCCTGAGTCGAGGGGGAGACCAGGAGGTGTGCTGTGGCCCTGCCAAGCCTAAAGGGCCTTCTGGTCAAGCGGGCAGGGCAGCCACCAGGTAAGCAGTGCCCATCCAGAGGCCACCAGGGCTCAAGAGGCGCGTGTGGGAGCCGCTCATCCAGAGACAGCTTTGAAGACATCCGCGGGCGCAGACACGGCCCCCGAGGGTGCGAGCCAGAGAGGAGCTGAAGACGACGGAAAGCCCCAAGGAGGAGGGCGTGGTGATGCGGACGTACTGAGCGCTCTGCTGTCCTGACCTTCTGAGGCCCCCTTGCAGCCGCGGCTTCTTAGGGACGCCGGGAGGCCGTGGCGCCCGCCTCCGCGCCTCGCCACCCCCTTGCCGGTCCCTCTGCACCTGCCCTGACTGACCTCCGGCTGCCGCAGGCCCCCCCTCCCCGGGCCTGGGTCCCCGGGGAGCGCTGCCTGGCAGCGGCCTCAGCTGTCGGCCCCTGTCATGGAGACGGCGGCAGCTGCGGGCGACGGTCATTTGTGACCATTTGTCAGAAAGCGCTCCTTCCTCCCGCCCTGCCCTCTTGCCCCGTTTCTCTCCCACGGCCCTGGAGAGGGGGCCCATCTCGGGCTGGGAAAGCCACGAGGGGACGGAAGCGCCGTCCGTGCTCTGCCAAAGGGCCACCCGTGGTACCAACGCAGGACCCAACCAGGGGTCCTGTCCCACATACCACGCTCCACACAGGCGATCAGGAGTCTGGGCGGTGCCCTCTGAGCCGCCCCCAGGGTACAGGTAGACATCACCCCCAATTGGAAGGTGGAGAAGTTGTCCCACAGACACTGGGTCACAAGCTGGTCAGGAGCACTAGGCTCGGGCGCCATGGCCTATCCTCCACCCGCCTCACCCCCCGCCCGCCAACAGCTTTGTTTCCGTTTCTTTGGTGGTTTCTGGCCCGGGCCTGCTGGTTCCAGCTGGGCCTAGGCTGGAGACGGCCTGCCTGCTCTTTGCACTTCGTGGTTTGGCCTCTCCGTTACCAAATGCTCTGGGATTTTTCTGGAGCCAGGGGTGGAAAAGAATCTCCTCCTGTCTGGCCCCAGGGCGTGGCTGGTATTTGGAAGGAAGCAGGAAGCCAGACCCTGATAATGCTGAGTTTAGTGTATGTTCAGTGACCAGAGACAGAGATGTCAGAGGCTCACTGGCTCCAAGTGGGGCTCATTTTGTTCAGCACCTTCGAGGCCTCAAACCCCTGTCCCCACAGGCCTGAGGCCTGAGACCAGGAGTCAGGCAAACAGACATTGACCCCGGATGAGAGACAGGAAAGGGGGTGCCATGCTGGCACCAGCCCCCAACAGGCAGGGCTCAGGAGCCACACCCCACCCTTCTGACCAGCCTTTGCCAACTCCTGGGTTTGCTTTTCTTGCTTCCAGAGGCCTTGAGATTCCTAGACTCCCGACAGGAAGGCCTGCTTGTCCCCGCACAACCAGGCCTCTGTGGGCAACTGGCAAACCAGGGAGGTCTATAGGCTTCCCTGAGCCCTGTCCTTGAGACCTGGTGTCACTGTTGACATCACCTTGGACCAGTGACCCAGGGAAAACTGCTTTCTTCCTCTGTTCTCTGGGTTCCCAGTTTTCCCTTTTATAAAATGGAGACTCCTTCCCAAAAAGCCCGAGCCTTATTCCTCCAGCTGTCTTTCTTGGGATTTCACATTCTGGCCTGGGGTGGATGGATAAATACAGCCTGTAGGGCTCTGGAGTGCCCGGGAGCCATGGACCCAGCTCCACTGTGAGTGGCCCCCTTGGGCCCCTCAGAGGCCCAGGAGAGAGCAGGCTCCCTTGGGAGCTGGAAGATGAGCGAGAGGGCGCAGAGCCTATGGCCCAGAGCCACCTCCCCTGCAGGCAGCTCTGCCTTCTGCTTCACAGGGAAACCATGTTCCCCTCTGCCCCGCCCACCCCCCAGGCAGCTCTGCCTCCTGCTGCACGCAGAGAGCATCTTCCACTCGATGGCGGACATCCTGCTCCGGGAGGAGGACCTCACGTTCGCCTCGACCATGGTCCACACCCTCAACACCATCCTGCTGACCTCCACTGAGCTCTTCCAGCTGCGAAACCAACTCAAGGACCTGAAGACCCCGGTAACCCTCACCTGCGCGCTCCAGCCAGCGTCATTCGTGTGCGCACGGGCGCGGCCATGCCAGCCCGCCCCTCGGTCCCCAGAGGTTGGCGGGGAGGAGACAAGGATGCGACCCGAGGCCTCCCAGTCCAGTGTCAAATACGGGTCCTCTTGGGTGGGCTGCATGTGAGTGCTAGCCACGGGTGTGAGTGTCCTTGGAGCTGCCCACCGTGAAGGGCTCTGCCAACAGAAGAGGGGGACGCTGCTCCAGGGTCCGTGCCCTCCCTGACACCCCACCCCACCTAGCACTGCCCCTGTGCACGCAGAGCGGCTCGGGTTCTGAGCCCTTGCAGGCCCGGTAGAGTAATGCTTGCTGGGCTGTGCCACCCGGTCAGGGTCGGGCCTGAGGATACAACCCCACTGGGGTTCGGGCGTCACCCTTCTTCTTGGCCTGGGCCCTCCTCTCCTGCAGAGGGACACATCTGTGTCAGCCAGGGTGTCATGGTGCTGTCTGGCCCAGGAGTTTTAAGTGAGGACCCACCAGGGCCGGTCAGAGAGAGCAGGGAGGTGCTCACCATTCTGCCAAACCGCTCTGGGGGACGTGGGTCAAAGGCCTTGCTTGGACTGAGCTGCGGAGGGTCCCTGGGTTGGCTTTCATCCAGGACAGGTTGGCGGCTCCGCAGCTTGTATCAGGGCTGTGCTGACCACCCTCCCAGCTCAGACCCTGCGCTGGCCCATTTCTGGGGTCTCCAGGACATTCAGGCCTGTGCCTGGGGGCATTGGGGCCTGGCCTCTGGGAATGAGCCAGGCCACACCCCTGCCTCCCTCCTGCAGAGGAAGGAAGAGGTGGCTTTGAGGGTGACAGGAAGGCGCTGCCTGGGAGAGGAGGCCGGGCCCTGAGCAGCCTTCCTCCCCGCCGGCACCCAGGCCCTCGCGGCCCCCCAGCTCCTGCTGTGGAGGGCTGGGAGGGTGACTGCTGTTATCTGCTGAGTCAGGAGCCCAGCGCACAGGCCAGGCTCGCTGCCGGCAGGCCCTCGCAGCCACAGCACGTGGCTCTGTGGGCCCAGGAGTAATGACAGGGTCATTACTGTCATTAGGAGGAGGAGCGTTTCCTTTGCGAGGACCCATTCCGGCTGGGCTGCCAAATACAGCCCTGGGTGCTGGGCTGGCCCCCAGTGCCCTGCAAGGGGCCCGCGGCGAGGGGCGGGGTCACGGATGGGGGGTGCGGGAGCACGGAGGGAGTGGGATTGTATCCTTCGCTCACCATCTTGCCGCCAGCCTCAGGGGACGGTGGGGGCCGGTCCCAGCAGACTCCCCCCAGGCTCCCCTCCAGCCTCTGGCTTCAGGGCCCGTGAGGCACAGTGAGGGACGCAGCTGAGGAACCTGGGTCATGTCGGTCATGTCGCAAGCCAGAGGTCGGGAAGGCTGCGTGCGTAGGTGAGGGAGCCCCGGGAGAGAGGCAGGGTGTCCTCAGCCCAGTGCTGGCGCGGGGACGGGGCGGTCGGACGGCAGGAGGAGTTGAGCTCAGGGCCCTTCGGGGGTTGCCGAGCCCCGCAGAGGACGTGACCGGGAGAAGCAGAGCAGCCTCAGGGCCTGGGGTCAGCCGATCTCAGAGGAAGGTCAGGTTTTGTTTGGAACACTGTGAAGCAGCCCAGCTTTCTCTGACTGCGTGGTGTGTGACCTGGATCAGACAGCTAGTAGAAGACAGAATTGGCCGCCTCCTCTGAGGAGTGGAGAACTGGGGTAAGGAAAGAGGGTCTGCCGCGGCCTTGCCCCGTGCCCGCACGCCGTCACACCTCTGTCTGCCCCTCGGCCCCGCTCACAGCCACTCAGGCGGGAACAGGTCTGGCGGGCGCAGAGGAGAGGAGCAGGAGGGAGCGCGGGGACCGTCCTGCCAGCTCTGTCTGGAGGGGCGGAAAGGCAGAGGGAACAGGCCACTGTGCTTTGTGTCCCAAAGCCGCTCAGGCGGAAACGTGGCCTGAGCCCAGGAGCCAGGGTCTGGGGCTGGGGCTGCATGCTCCATGCTCCAGGTCAGCCCTGGGCCCGCGCCCCCAGCCCAGCCCCTCAGACAGGCGGGCTGCCCTGGCCAGCAGTGAGGCTTCTTTGACCACCCATGCAGTGGGGACCTGGAGGTCACCGTGGATTTCCTGACGGAGGTGGACAAGCTGGTGCAGCTGATCGAGTGCCCCATCTTCACATGTGAGCGCCCGCCGTCCTGCAGGGAGCCCGCGGAGCCAGGCTCAAAGAGCAGCTCTCTGCCCCTGGGGAGGGACGGGGGGGGGG